TAGAACTTACTGTGTAATGGGTCGACATAGCCGCCGGAGACGAAGGAAGCGTGACGATGTTGCCCTCTGAAATGCGATGGAGGTCGTCGCAGATATTTTCTGCAAAGAACGGAGAAGCACCCACCGGAGAAATCTCTTCAGAAACGCGACGATGGAAAAACTGATGGCCTTGAAGATGGAGATTAGAAGCTTGAAGATGGAGAAACCTTTTTGTCACAGCGGTGAAGAGGGAGAAACCGACGGCGATGAAGAGGTTACGAAATCGTGGGTTTCTAAAAATCTCAATTTTGGAAATTTGAATTTGCTTGATTTTAGGGATTCCATATATCTTAATAATTATTTACCAATTTCATATTTTATTAATGATTTAATATTGAGATTGATATATTAGTAATTTCTATTATGTGTATCATCTATTTTGGGAATTATGTTAGACATAAGTCTAAATTCTAGACTTTCAATCCTTTTACGTAATTAGGTCTCTTAAATAGACCATCTATGTACTAATCCCAAATTTTATGGGATGAGTTGGTTCAATGATTCACTTAAAATAAATTTTTAGTTAACTGAACCAATCCAAACTTATTATTAATTTTAAAATTATTTATTTTACTTCCCATAAAATTTTATATGGGATATATTTATTTTATTTTATTTTATTCAATAATTCTATATGGATTATTTATGAATATCCAACAACTTTTAAAAATAAAACTTTAAGTTTTTCAAATATAATTTTTCACCATATAAATAAACAATTACTTATATTTCATGATTGAATGTTAAAAAATATGTAAATAAATGTTTGATATTAACATTTATTATCTTTTTTATTATACAATATTTTGAATTATGAGTGACTCGAACCAACCCAATCCAAATATTTCATGGTTGGGTTTGGTTGGATTCATTATTAAATAGAGTTTTTTGGGTTGAATAAATTTATCACCCGAACAATTGGATTGAGTCTAAAAAGTACCTCAACCAAACCAAATCCAACCCACTAACACTCGTATTCATATGTATTATATTTATTTGTTATAATACAATAATTCTTAAAATATCGTTTAATAATTTTTATACCATGGTTGATGYAGGATTTTTGTATTCGCATTTCGTTGACAGAAGTTCAAGGGAATACCCGCTGTTATGAATGAGAAAATYGTATTTTCTACAATTCGAWTTCCTCCTTATTTAAGAAATTCAAAAGGGAATATATATCTTGATGGACTTATGATTCAGGAGAAGATATATCTTATATTCAAAAGGACAAGATATCCTGATTGCCTTAAGATTCTCCCTAGATTCAGATAACCAGATTTCTTAGATGTATTAGGATTCGAATTCCACAATCCTAGGATCAGGATTCAACTTCTATAAATAGGGGAGTAAGTCAAACCCTAAAGGGGACGACAAATCTCTACTCTTTGCTATGCTCACAATACTCTACACTTTATATTCAACTACTCCGATTCTGACTTAAGCATCGGAGACCGATCTTTAATGTTATTCTGTTTTGCAGGTCCGGCTTTTAGTGCTATTCTGTTTTGTAGGTCTCGTCGATCTCTCTTATTCTTGAAGATTGGTGCGAATTTGGCGGAATCCCAAGAGGTCAAATTTCTGCATCAACAATTGGCACCGTCTGTGGGGACAACTAGAGATTGCAGATTTGTCGACATGAGTTTGGGAAGGAGTCCACAACATTCTAATGAAGAATGTCGCTACAGGAGAAAAGTTCATATGAGTACACCTCCGTCCGAGACAGTCGAAGGAGAGACTGACCGACCAGTTCTCAGACCGAAGGATACCGATCTACCAGATGACGGACAGAAGGGTACTGGCCGACTAGTTCTCGGACAGAAAGACAAACCGATCAAGGTTCTTGATCAACAGGGTGAAAAGATGATCGCCTTAGAAAAGAAGGTTGAAGGAATGCACCAGAGCAAGTCCCTGCTTCTGCAAAAACTCGAGCAACATGAGATGGAGCAACCAGTGCTTGTTCACGATCCATGAAAAGGGTAAAGCTCCGATAATTGAAGTAGTTGGGGAGACAACCAGTCATGCACGGAGCAAACTGAAGATATGAGGAAACAATAAACCTCGAACCGACGTTCTCGGCTGGTCAGGTCGGCAAGCAGCTGATCAAGGAACTCGAATTGGGACAGACCTAGAAGCCGGCCGATAAGCAAGAAGCCAATCAGTGAAACCAGGGAAGAGAATCCCGAGGTGCTGAAAAAGACATGCGTACAGGCTCAACAAGGTTAATACAGAAAGTAGGTAAGCCTAACCAATCAATGAAATCAATGGGTAAAAAATCATGTGGCAAAAGCCAAAATAGGTTAGAAACCCGAGGGTGTTGATTTAACTTGGGGTAAAAAAYTGGCAGAAGCCAAATATGTTAGAAACCTAAGAGTGCCGACTAAACTCAGGGTATAAAAGTCATTGGCAAAAGCCAAATGAGTTAGAAACTCGAGAGTAAACCCTGAGGTATAAAACATGGGCAAAAGTCAAAGACGTTAGAAACCAAAAGGAAGTACCACTGGTCCTTTTGAAAGTTAGATCCCAAAGCCAAAATCTAATGGTTAAAACTAACCGTATAGCAATGCCTAAGAGACTTGATTGCAACCAAGTACAACAGAAGTGAATGAGGGTTATGACAGCCAACCCATAAAACGACAACCGACAACAACAAAAGGGTATTGACTGGACTTAGGGTATAAAATCATTGGCAAAAGCCAAGTAGGTTGGAAATCCAAGAGTAAACCAAGAGACTTGACTACGGCCAACTACGACAAATACTCTCAACACTAAGGGACTCAATTGCAGCCAACTACAACAAAAGAAAATGGGGGCTATGAAATCAGCCCATAAAAAGCGACAATTGACAATGACAAGTACTCTGAATGCTAATAAGAGACTTGATGGTAGACAACTACAACAAAAGAGAATGGGAACTAGGAAAGTTAACCTAATTAAGACGACAATCAACAGCGACTAAAAAGAGTCTATTCCACAAAAATAGTCAACTCATGAGTGACAAAATACTCTCAAAGCAAGACTTTGACAATCTTCAACTTTGAGAGTGGGGACTATTGTTATGGATGGGAAAATCTCTATTTTCTACAATTCGAATTCCCCTTATTTAAGAAATTCAAAATGGAAGATATATCTTAATGGCCTTATGATTCAGGAGAAGATATCATATATTCAAAAAAAGAAGATCTCTTGATTGCCTTAAGATTCTCCCTAGATTCAGATACCAGATGTATCAGGATTCGAATTCCACAATCCCTAGAGGGACCAGGATTCAACTTTTATAAATAGGGAAGTAAGTCAAACCCTAAAAGGGGCGACAAATCTCTACTCTTTGCTATGCTCACAACACTCTACACTTTATACTCAACTACTCCGATTCTGAYTTAAGCATCGGAGCCTGTGTGGCAAGAGCCACACCAGACTTTAATGATATTCTGTTTTGCAAGTCCGGCCTTTAGTGTTATTCTGTTTTGTAGGTTTCGTCGATCCCTCTTATTCTTGAAGATTAATGCGAATTTGGCGGAATCCCAATAGACCAAATTTCTGCATCAACACCCGCACACAAGAGAAACTTGACTCCAAGGTGCTAAGTTCAAACACACTTCAGGATTTTTGGATCCGCATTTCATCACAGAAGTTCAAGGGAATACCCACACACAAGAGAAACTTGACTCCAATATGGTGCTAAGTTCAAACACACTTCAAACGCCTAGGTTAGCRAAATTTTCCTCTAAAAAAAATTAATAATAATAAATGAGAATATACTTCACGTCCAGATCTTGTCCAKATCTCTCCTCTTATTTTCAGAGAGACTCTCTTCAAATTGGTTCGAGTGAACCGATTTGATCAAATTTATGTTAGAGATCTAGTCTGATGGAATGGTTCGATTCAAATGATTTGAATCGAGTGGCTCCAACCCATGTCAATTTCTTGACTTAAATGGTTAGAAACTTGATGGGATAAATTTCATTCATAAGGGCTATATTTAAAAAAAAAAAAATATTATCACGTATGCAATTATAATATTACTTTTTTTGAGTTCAATACTTCAATATTACATTCTGTCCTTTGTTATGTGTTTTTTTTTTAATTTAATATTAATCCCATAATATGGAATCTTGAGTTAAATCTCGAAGCTGTCTTGCAAACTAACATGTATATGTTTCTCACAAATCATTGGTTCACGAGAAGGGTTTCATTTCAATTAAAAATTAATGTCATGTGAAAGTGGCAATATAAAATTTAATTAAGTTTTATTATGCCTCCATATTTATTTTATTTTTTCCACAACCTGAAGAAGCCTATTGGAGAAACAGTAGGACTAGTATGTAATTTTATATCATAAATTTCGAATTTCCATCTAACACATATTAGGTGGTCTAATGTCACAATCTACCCCTTAAAAGCACACTCTTGCTAGTGTGGCAAATCCAGATAATTAACTTCRTATAAATTATTTAAGGTTAAAAAAACAGATTTGATTCTTGTACTTTCTCTGAATTAACAATCTAATTCCTAAACTATAKTTTGTAATGATTTAATCTCGATATTTTCAAATCAGTAATAATTTCGTCCAAAATTTAATAAGTAACAATTTAGGTAGTCTTTATTGTGAAATTTTTTGTTAAGAGTTATATATATATTAATAAACCAATAAGGGACCAAATATATTTATTTAGAAAACTTAAATTGTTATATGATAAAACTTGACAATTAATTTTAATAASAATTTTCACGATAGTGACTAAATTGTCACAATTTTTAAAGACATTATGTCATCAGAAAGGTCCAAAACTTTGCCTAAACTTTTGAGCTATTCCCTCAAATCTGCCAGCTAAAATCCCAAGAGCACACACATGGGATATCTCATCAATTAGTAGTAGTAGTATTCATCTCAGTATTCTCTTTACAAATCACCTTCTAATTTTTTCCCATCCCTTCTCTATAAAACCCCACCCCCCATCTCCCCCGAAATCAAGCCTTCAACTTTCAAAGCCTTGGAGAAACCCCAATTCCCCCACTTCTCTCCATAATGGCTTCCAAAGCAACCCTCTCTCTGGCCCTCCTCCTCTCCCTCAACCTCCTCCTCTTCTCCGTCGCGAGCGCTTGCAACGACTGCTACGTCCCAGTTCCGCCCAAGCCCAAACCCTGTCCTCCCACCCCCAAGCCCACCCCTTCCTCTCGCTACCATAAATGCCCAAAAGACACTCTTAAGCTCGGTGTGTGCGCCAAATTGCTCGGCGGGCTCATCGACATTACCATCGGCAAGCCTCCCGTGACCCCGTGCTGCAGCYTCATTGGAGGCCTTGCCGATCTCGAAGCTGCTGTCTGCCTTTGCACTGCTATTAAAGCCAATGTCTTGGGCAACAACCTCAACATCCCCATCGCCCTCAGCTTGCTCCTCAATGTCTGCGACAAGAATGTCCCTAAAGGCTTCCAATGCTAAACTTTATTATTATTATTATATTTTTTCTTTTCCGTGAATTCTAATGTTTCATGTGTCTGTGGTTTGGTTTTGGGTTGTCTGTGTTGTTAGAATTTATTACAAATTCTTGGTCGTTTTTATTTTTCTTGTGGAGTTTAAGGGCTAATAAGTTTGCCTATTGGTGAATTTGATTGGTGAGATTTGTAGTTCTTTGAATATTGGAAATGAAATATCTATCATTTCCCCTTTTTTTGCACGCGTTACTCTTTTAACATATTATGTTTAGTGTAATACTTGGGTAATTACAATGGTATCTTCCTACTTTACTGTCGTTAAAAAATTAACAAGCTATTTATTTTTTTAAATAGAAAATTTTATTTCCTCTCTCTCTTTATGCACTATTCTCCCCTCCTTGTTGTCAATTTTAATAGTGTTAAGTAGAAGATACCTATAAACACTTGGTTAATATTACACTTTCCAACATGATCATAATCATAGTTTAACGATTAAGATATTTTACTTCTTTTTCAAAACTACTTAGAAGACTCATTTCTTGAGGTTAGAAGTTCAACTCTCCATCTTTGTTTTACTGAAAAARTAGATAAATATTATCTTCATTTTAATTAAACCTATGATTCTAATTTATATCATGCACATGAACTCTTTTTTTTAAAGGCATACCGATCCTAATATAAAAAAAAATGTGAATAATAATTAAATAAATGGTTAAATACTCCATTCGTCATTGTAATTTTTAGACACATTTTAATTTTATCTATGTTCAAATTTAATTCATATATTTCTAATGTTCAACTTAAAAAAAAAGAAAAAACAATTATAATGAAAAGTTTCTTTTTAAAAAAAAAAAAGTATAAAACTTTCCATTATAATGAAAAGTTGAAAGTTTAATTAGGAACTTAATAGTAGCTATTATTGCCAGAGCGAGATAGTCCTRCGGTAATTGATATATATCTTAAACTAAGAGGTCGTGAGTTCGATTYTCGACCCACATGTCACATGTTGTACTAAAACATAGTAAAATATGGTTGTACTAAAAAATAGTAAAATATTATTTTAAGATTTATTGAAACGGCAAATAATAAATTTTTATTTATTTTTTTATAATAATAATTATTATTATTTATTATTTTTTTTTATAATTGCAAATACCCAATTAAGGCATATGGGAATTTAATACTCAGTGTTGATGTTGTTTTCCTCCGAGTTCACAAGTTGGTCACGTGCTAACGAGGATGAGTTGTTGAGGTACTCACGAGTGAACCTRCACAGGGAACAAATACTTCGACGTCCAAGTTAGTTACGAGCTCGAGCTATTTAAGTCCTTCTTAGAGGAAATAGCATACCTGTTCAATGGGCGGAGTGTCCCTTTTATAGGTAGACAAGAGAGACAAAACCATTAGGTTGTTACCACATGCAGTTACGGTTGTTGGGCCCCAGGTCAATGGTCGGGCCTGAGGTCGGAACCCTCAGGTCAATGAGTACATTTCTTTTATCTCAGCTCGGTGTGGATCAGTTCGTCAAGTCTCAATTGTCCGTATTCTAAGATATGGTTGCTCCGAATTGAGTTCATGCTTATAAGTGTYGATCTAATTTTGACCACCAACACTCAGTTTTAAAATACTTACTACCCTATGAAATATATAGTTAAAATTATATTTTTAATCTTTTCTTCACAATAAAAAATTAATGTCATACTCTAATTACGCAGTTTTTCCTAATAAATTACCAGAGATTTAACCATTATCTCTAATTTATTATAATATATTTATAGAAGAATGATCTTGATCTAAAATAATTATGAATTATTAAACACACCTTCTTCATTGCCGGTTCGAGTTCCAAATCAAAATTTTATTATAATCCTCTACAATTGCAGGTAATCAATCAGTTTATTTATTTTCCTTGAAAACGACTAAAATTTTCAGAATCAACGTATTTAATTATCACAGACCTGATGCAAGACTAATTTGTCTTATCTTTACATAATTGAGTGTCCAAAAAGAATTTAATTAAAGCTGAAATTTAGTTTAATATGATTTACCACTATCATTAATAAAAGACAAGGAAAAACAATTACACAATTTATGAACTTTGTCTTTTACTTATTTAAAAGATGGGAACTCGATTTTAATTTTATGGTCAAACCCTAAAATCCTGACATGTCGACAATTGACAGAACGACGTGTAGTTCGATGATGGAGGGCATGGGCGATGACTTACTCTGCATGCATGCAGATGTGAGTAGGACGCATGGACTTCTGAAATTTATTTCCACAGAACTTTAAAGTATGACAATTAATTCTCTCACTTTTTTTCATTCTGACAAAATTTTAAATTGTGTTTCATAGATTTTTAAAATTTTTAATAATGTCTAGTTATTTCTTAAATTTCTTTGTGTTTTAATAAATTTTTGAGGTTAAGATTTTTTTTAGTTAGGAATTTATTAGATAAAAAATTAATAGTTCACATAAGAATCCCTTTGATGTACTATGTTAAAAATTCAAAACTATATTACTATTAAAAACTTTTATAATTAGAATCTAAAAGATATACATTCATAAAAGTTTGGACTGTTGATCTATGAGATTTAAAATTAGTAGTTCTTTAGTTACAAGTTTCAAAAGGGACAATTTTAATTTCTAAAATTTCAAAAGCGACAAATTTAATCTCAGAATTTTTTAAAATAGTTATAAATGATTCTTTTAAGCTCATTTATTTTACTCTTAGTTGACCAATAGTAAGTTGACGTGGCGATTAAATTGCTTACTTTACTGGGGTGAATTGCTAAAAAAATTAACTTAATAATGTCCTTTTGCTTATGATCGACTTTTCCCTCTTTCCTTCGTCTCTTCTTCCTCCTATTCTCTAACAAACTTTGCCTCGTCAAAGACCTTGTTCCAGATTGGCAAGGAATACGTTCCTTGTGTATATAGAACGAGGAAAACCATCAATTCCACATTGGGAACGATAAGGTTATTCTTCGTTGTTTCAAATTTGGAAAGAGGAACATCGTTCCACGTTCTGGAAGGATGAGGTCRATCCTCGTCATGAGGAAACTAATTCCAAATCTGAGAAAGATAAGGAACATGTMTGTTCCTTGTTCCAGATCGACACCTCCAGATCTAGAACGTCATTCCAGATCTATGGAACGATTATTTTAACCGAAGTAAGGGTTTTATTCCACTGTTCTTTGTTCTCTAGATCTCAAAACAATGATGAAGGTGTTAGAGGCTRGGAAGTAGAAAGAAAGAAGTAAGGAAAGGGAATGAGAGGTACAATTAGAGTCATACAAATATTATTATTAATTTTTGTTCTACCAAAACAGTAAGGTACAGACATTTAACTACGACATCAATTTAACGTTAATCAACTAATGATCAAAAGAGCTTATGAATTATTTAGAATAATTTTTCAATCTTCTGCCAATGTCACTTTTGAAACTTCAATATGACTAGATAAACACATTAACAACAAATATTTAATATTATTAAGGACCCACCGGAAAAATAAAAGGTTATATAATTGGTTTTAACATGAAATTCTATAAATATTGGTAAATATTAAATGAATTCCACATATATATTTTATTTGATAAAATTTAACCGTGACTCCGTGAGATCTTGTTATAAAAAAGAAAAAAGAAAAAATCCACCTTTAGCTCTGTTTTGTAATTGAATATATTCATTTCGACATTTTGTAGAAGGATAAAATCACTTAAAAAGCGTATAAATTTGGATCAATTGGCAGCTTTATTGTAGCTAATCAATCATATGGCCATATGGGTCCACTCCACTCCATAAATTAATCAGGATTTCCCGTGAACTTATTTTGGCTTTTTGCTAGGGGTTCGTTGTATTAAAAAAAAAAAAGCATAAAATTCATAAACACATTAACCCTTTTTTTAATTATTATTTTCCCCATCTTTCACTTTGTGTATCATGATTTCACGCCGCTCGAAAATGGGCGATCTCTTTGTTGGTTTTTGACTTTATTTTAAAATCTTACCTTTGGCCAATGTGAATTATGTTCCAACCTTCAACATTTATGTACAGCAAGAAGGATTATTATGATATCCAGTATGTGAAATTTTAATATTGTTGGATGGGATTTCTAAGCTGGTGCCATGTAGGTGTTATGAAAGTATCAGGTATGTTTTGTCTCTTTACTCGAAGTTTATTGGCACGCAGAAATAGGATCGGTGTACTATGTCGAATACATTTGGATGCCTAAGTTGGAACTTAAGATGAGAGCGAATAGTTATGGAGCAAATAGAGTAAGGAAGCAGTAATCTTGATGAGAGCCACTTGAGAATGTGTGTTGAATTCTCACAAAGAATTGTGTAAGAAATTTCGAGCTATTTCCCCACAATTTTTCCCAAGAGCTTTTTGTATGCAATGGGGGAGTGGAATGTCGCACAGGGGCCATAGGGACCACCGATATTCTCCTTTTCTCTATACACTATAAAAGGGGGTGCGATGGTGTGATGGGCGATCTCTGAAGTGTAATGMGATTTGGGCATAGGGTGTCAGTACCCTAGCTACTAACAGTCTCTCTCGTATAGTCAATCTAGGTGTGCTTGGCCCCTTAATCCGATGCACTCAGGTTTGGGCTCAATGCGCTCGAGTTTGGGCTTGATGTGCTCGCTTTTCGTAGCTTGATGATCTATGTGACTCGATTGGAGTTGGGATGCATGTTGCTTTAGATTGATYCAAGGACAAATATAAAACAAACAAAATTATATTGTAAAATCTAAAATTTTGAGACCTCGGGGATAAAAAATCGTAGTTAATCCCACCGACTTCTTAACTGACCAATAAAAGAATCAATGCTTTGATAAGATTAATGATAAATTTTTCAATTAAAAAAGAAACCTCAATAGTCGAAGTCGAAAGGAACTTTGATTGACTATGTCATGTAAGAAAGGGAAGAGTACACATATCTAGATCACAACAATGATAAAATTATTAATCTGTTCTTACTAAAAATGCAATTTTTAATTTTGTTGATAAATTAKTTTTAGGGAATTAGAATTGTAGGAAATGTGAGAAGACAGTACGTCAACACAACACTTTCTTGACGTGGWTTTTGCCTTTTCRGTTACATCGAGGAGTAATATAAATTTATATATTCGGATGTTTTCCTTTGCTTATTCATTTGTTTGTTGCATTGTGATCTATTATTTGGTAATTGAACTCATTGAAACTTGAAAGCAATTTACGAAGATGAAAATATGTG